TTCCACTTGATTCTGCCATGTTGACATGCTCACCATTTTTATGTGAACATTCATTGGCATAATGTCCATATTGCTTGCAATTGTGACATTGGATATGCGTCTTTCCTCGAGTAGATCTCCACTATTGAGACTGACCTCGATTTTGTGCATAGCCTCGACCTCTTCCTCGAGCTCGTCCTCGGCTACGGTTAGATGAACTCCCATGACGTGAGTTCCACTGGCCACGACCTTTATTTGGTTTGTCAATATTCAACTTTGACTCCAAAGCTTGCTCTAGCGTTGTGGGGCTTGCATTCTTCTGAATGCGTTGTTCGTGAACTAGGAGGATCCTAGTAGCTCCTCTGCGCTCATCACCTCCAAATCCTTGGATTCCTCAATGGCAGTCACCACATGCTCAAACTTAGATGTGAGTGACCGGAGTATCTTCTCCACAACTCGTACTTCATCGAGTCTCTCGCCATTTCTCCTCATCTGATTTACTATCACAATGAGCCTTGAGTGATAGTCGGAGATGCTCTCTCCTTCATTCATGTGAGCAGTTTCAAAATCTGCTCGAAGTGACTGTAATCTCACTTTCTTGACCCGATCTACTCCTTTGTAGATTGTACTGAGTGTGTCCCATACTTGCTTGCTCGTTGTTGCTTCTGCAACCTTCTCGAACGTTGAATCTTCTAGACCCTGGTATAGAAGATACAGTGTCTTCTGGTCCTTCTTTCGTAAGTCCTTGAGAGTGTTCCTTTGTTCTGCAGTATATGCAGCTTCTTGCTCTGCAGTGGGTACAATATACCCACTACTGACAACTTCCCATAGCTCATGTGATCCAAACAATGCTTTGAATTGGATGCACCATATTTCATAATTTTCTTTCTTCAATGTGGGAACCTGGAGTTGCACTAAATTGGACGCCATAGCTACTGCACTTGCCAGAATGGTATTTTGGCTCTGATACCAATTGTTGGTATTCAGAAGAGTTTGCTAACTCAATACCAAAATATGTGGGTGATAAGTTTACAAACTCTATCACACCTCTCACTTTCACTCTCAATAAAATTGGACAAAGAAAGGAAAGAAGTAGCAAGCTTGGTGATAACAAGCACTTTGAAATATTAGAAGAGTTTACAACTCTTAAAGCTTACAAGCTGAAATTAAATGAATGGGAAATGGGATTTGGATGGGATGCTCTAAGGCTTAGCAAGATGGCCTATTTATACAAAACTGAAAAAATAAACAATCCAACAATACATATAATGAATGATGGTGTTCCACATCTTTACACCCTTTCAAACACATGCAGCAACTTTGATAGTTGGCATACACATGCATTGCATCATGGCAGGTTGTAATAACCACATTTCGGCTTGCACACAGCAGCTGTCTTTCCAGCTGCAAATAACACAGATTCAACTAGCACATGGCAGCACACTGCTGTCTTCCTGCTAGCACATCACATGGCAGCACACTTGCTGTCTTTCATCACCATTCGGCTGAATAATGAAGGAGCAATGATGATTATATTTTGCTGGAAACAAGCTGTAAAGAAAGGTTAGCATCACATGGACATATCACATGACTTTTAATTTGTATTTCCAACACAGGGATGGTGAACCTAAGTTGATGGTAAAGCTCTTGCGGGAAATCGAGGAAGGGCAGAAATCCGGTTCTGGGGTTCACGACTGGAACAACGTAATCCATTTCTTCTGCAAGAAAAGATTGATGCAAGATGCTGAGAAGGTGCTGGCGAAGATGAGAAGCCTAGGGCACGCCATAAATGCACAAAAATTCCATTCTATTGTAACTGGTTATGCTGCTGTAGGAGGAAAGTATACAGAAGTGACGGAGTTGTGGGGCTAGATGAAGTCCATTGCTGCTGCCACCTCAATGCAATTCGATCAGGAGCTCCTGGATTCGGTTCTTTACATATTCGTGAGGGGCGGATTTTTCAGCCGAGCAAATGAAATTGTGGAGATGATGGAGAAAGGTAAGATGTTCGTTGATAAGTACAAGTACCGGATGCTGTTCTTGAAGTACCATAGAACAAGTTACAAGGGCAAGGCTCCCAAATTCCAGACAGAATCCCAACACAAAAGGAGGGAAGCTGCATTGGCGTTTAAGAATTGGGTCGGAGTTGGCTAATGGAAAGCTGGAAACTGTCTTTATTTGCTTCATACATGCCTCAAATTCAATCTAATAAGTTAAAAATTGTATGATTTGCTTGCTTAAATGTGTTAATTAGCTATTTACTCAGCAGCAATCCACCACTGATATAGTCCCTAACTTAACTTTCCAGTCAGCAAGTGTGAGATCTTATAACAAAAGGCATCCATGCATTTAAGAATAAAACCACTCAACTTTTTACATTCTTCGACGTATTCTATTAATTCACGTATTAATAATAGATACACGACTTCACTTAATATAGTATGAGTAAATTAATAATATCATTCAACGGTGTGATAGTTATATTGAAAAACTTTTTGATATTAAACCAACTACTCACTCATGCTATAATGGATGAACTAGTTGCACTATGTTAACCTGTTAAAATCAAGAATTCGAGAAAATCAATTGCCAAAATTATGCATAACGTGTAAAGAAATTGCCAAAATTATTCATCCCAAATTAGACCATCGAGTGAAAAATCTTTGTTGATCTTGCTTTTACAACTAAAACTACGCCGTTTCACACTGTCATCCAACAACCCTTTTTAATATAAAGACTTTCATCAACAGAACACTAAAAGACTGGATTAGAATTGCTTTTAAAATGACTGAAAACACTTTCTGTTAAAATATTTTTGAAACCAATCCTTAGTAAAAATCTAAGTGGATTTGAAAAGACACTTTAAATGTTTCATGCAAGAAGCACATACCTGGTGCTTTTTCCAAAGGAGGTGGATTGTCTGCCCTCCCATTTCCATACTCTCCCCATGCCCTCCTGTGATGTGTGGTCACGGTTAAGCCACATCAATATTAATATTAATTTTTTATAGAAATAATAAAACAAAAAGTAATAGGAATATAAAATGTTGACGTGACTTAACCGTGATCACACAAATAGGAGAGCATGGGGAGAGTAAGAAAATGGGAGGGCAGACGATCCACCTCCCCTTCCAAAAAGCACTTAAAGTGTTTTTAGAATCAAAAATCACTTTCACCAAAAACGCTTTTAGTCATTTTAAAAACACTTTCAAACGATCTCTGATTGGCATGCCACTCTAATTAGCTCAAATGTAAATTCAAAATGGCATAATATTGTATTATAATAATTACTAGCAAAGAAGCCCGTGCTCCGCTGCTAGTTTGAAATTGTGAACAAAATTTAACACACTCATTTCTAAATTATTCAAAAATAAATGAAAGCAACTGAATCCACATGATATTTTATCCTCCGCAAAGGAATGAAAAAGTTTTTGTCTGATTTTTCAAATTGTGAGATGTATCAATTATCAATTGTTATCTGTGTCTTTGTACTTCTCATTGTGAGTTCTTTTTGCTTATTACTCTGAATTTTTCGTAGTTTGAAATTTGCAATGATCAACAAACATGGGATATGCCTATGTGATTTGGCATGAACTAAAGAATGGTTTGCAATTAATTAATTTCACTCTGATGTATATCATTTGTATTAGTTTCACAATTTGGAATTAGGAATAACAGTTAAACAGGGCCTTGAATTACATCATCAACCAAAACTTTCTCCTTTTGCTTTCTGTGACTTTTTTCGTTGCTTGCTGCAAATGAATGGATTTGGAACTTTGAACTAACAAATTAAGCAATTCAAGCATATTATATACCCTTAAAAGGTTTAAGAGTAGATATAAAATTAATTAATATTAAATCAAAATAAATAGATGTAGCTATGTGTATTTTCAGCAATATCAGACATTCACTCCCATCATAGGGCTTAAATCACATTTAAATATAAAAAGTACACAAAGAAAGTTGTGCTTTTAAGGATCGAAGTTATATACTCTATAACATAGATCATATCCACACAAGTAACGGAGAACATACGAAAGCTTTAGAATATTATTTTTGGGCACTAGAGCGAAATTCATTCTTACCACAAGCTTTTAATAATATCGCCGTGATCTATCATTACGTGCGACCAGTTGGAACGGCTTCTTCTCATTCTACCTACACATCTCAGAGCTCATACACCTGCGCATCTCACTATGTTACACGAAAGCGCCGCTTTCTCTGGAGTGTTGTCACACAGCTGCCCACCTAGAAGAGCCACTCGCTCTGTAGTGTTGTCACACAAGATAAGCACGCCGCCCGCCTGCTGGTCGGGTGAATCAAAGTTATCTTCCGGTCAACTGTCCACCCAGTCAAGTGCAAAAAACACAGTAGAATCACGCAACGCACGCTGCTGGTGTGCTTCCTGCCCGCGAGGAAAGAAAGAAGAGCAACAAGGTTTAGTTCAGATTTGACTGTTTGCAGCATGGGAGCGGATTACCCAAAAAAAAAAAAAAAAAAAACTCCGTATACAACTATGTATTCCGCACGAATTTGTGTAAAAGGACTTGCCTTGGGGATGAAGTAGTCCGTCCTCTTACAGTACCAACTTGAAATACAGAAACCCGGTACTATGGCGGCGCAGGATATGCACAAACTCTTCCTTTGCAAAATTACTCACCTGCATTGCAATCAAAATCAATCCCAAATCGAAAGAAACAAAACAAAACCAGTAAAAGTCTCCACGTTACACACACAATGCACTCAGAAAACCGACCGTTCTTTTTAGAAGCCGACGACGAAGATTGATATAACAGATTTTAGAGTGTTAATTATGTCATACATATATACATATATCATGTATAGACACTGAGCAAACAAATTAACCATACGAAAATATTTATTCTAAAAGAACCAAATATAAATCATGACAAATATATATAACTAGATTCTTAGGATGTCCGCCATAGAATCCAGCCGCATCGATCTCTCGAATTTCCTGTGCAGCTGGTACAGGCCGATGAAATACCTTGTTGACAGCAACAGAAACCAACAGAGAAGAAGGGAGAGAGAGCAAATGCCAGAAGACGCTGCGATGGCCGACAGCTGGGGAGGAAGGGCAAAAACGCAAGCGGTGCAGACTGCAGAGGAAGGAAGCGGTGGAGAGGAAGCAACGAAACGGTGAGAAAAGAAAGGTGTAGAAGTATCCGGACTTGGATGAAGGGCATATCGTTTGATGGTGTGAAAACAGTTCGACATCTGCTTCCAAAAACCACCGAGAAAAGGAGAAACGACAGCGCACAACATAGACACACGTGTTGATATGGGCAATTTCGTAGTTGTTTGTTCGTACACTCTTAAACCTCCAAGTTCTCTTCTCAATCTTCCCAAATCCCTACAATCTTCAATCTTCAATCTCAATGTCGGCAAAGCGCTCGCGGAGTGGCGGCTCGTCGAGCTTCGACGACGCCGGAGTGTCCAACCACCACCTCCTGCCGCCGAAGCCGCCGTCCGAGGGCTCCGATCCCCGGTGCCACGTCCGTGCGGGTTTTGGTAATGGCGCGAAGGCTTTGAAGCCGTCGCCGGAGGCTGAGAAATCTCCGCCGTCGGTTTTGAGGATGTCGTCGCCGGAGACTGCGCGGATGGGACGCGCGGCGCAGGTTGACGAGTTCCTTGAGCAGTGCTTCTTTTGTCACCGGAAGCTACCTCACAACGAGGACGTGTTCATGTACGGGTAAGGTTTCTTCACTGATTTCCTATGAGATTTCTTTTTGTTTTTAAAAATTAGCGTTATAGGAGGAATTTCATTGTGTAAATTTTTTTATCTCCGTTTGGCTGCTGAGAAAATCAATGAAAAATTTGCGTTGTACTTAATTTATAAGTCTTCTTCTTCTTTTGTTTTAATTGTGCATGTTGCTCTTTTCCTAATTACTCAGGTGATATTTTTCTTTTGTTTTTGATTATCGTTGTAGTAAGAATTTTATGGTGTACTTGTTTGATGTCTGTTTGGCTGCTGAGAAAATCAAGGAAAATTTTGAGTTGTGAACTTGTGATATATAATTCTTCTTCCTCTATTTTAATTGTGCAAATTTTTTCTTTTCTCTTTTACTTTCTTTTATGCTTCTGTTTTCCTTGTGGAATTATCATCATTAGTACTATTTTCGCTGTGTGATTGCGTAATTTCTGTTTGGCGGCTGAGAAAATCAAAGAAGTATAGTAGAAAGGAAAAATGTTTGAGTTGCAAATATGATTATGATTCTTCATCTTCTCCTATCCATTCTGTTGTTTGAGTATACTTGAACTTCGATTCTCCGTCTTGCAAATATGATTATGATTCTTCATCTTCTCCTATCCATTCTGTTGTTTGAGTATACTTGAACTTCGATTCTCCGTCAATAGACTTGAACTTCACATTACTGCAGAGTTGTTTATATGCCTGTGGCAGCAAATTAACTGAAATTTTATGTGTTCTGAAAATTCCGTGGCGTGATGCAGACCCTTTCGTGCCTTTTGCTCACCCCAATGCCGTGACCAGCAATTCAACATGGAGAACGTAAAAGACCAACCAAAGCAAGTACGTGTTCAATCGACTAAAACCATGTACAGCATGACAAACAATGTGAATGGCTGAAGAAATTAAACTAGCTAGGCGCTACCCAGGCCGCGCATGACAGTCATGTTTTTTGAGATTGGCACGCGCTTCCGGTTAGCAATGGTTTTACATTTAGTTTTTCACATTCTGCTTCCCTTTAGGTAGTGTAAAGCTTTACTGGTTTCTTTTAGGGATCATCACAGATGAAAGCACTAGGTTTTTATTTCGAAGGATTAGAATTTAGAATCGTTGGATATATTTCGATGCTTTGTTTTAGTGGTTACCGTGGAGCTGAAACATACTGGAGCTTTGCCCAAATAGATGATCACTAAGTATATTGTGCTACTAACTTATAGCCTGCCTTCACTTTACCTTTTTAGTTAAAGATTTGAAGCCGTTAATCTTCTTAGCTATCTGAAACTTTAAACCTAAAATAGGTTATCGATGTTTCTTCCGGTTTTCAATGTGTTTGACGTTATATTTATCTGTTGTAAGGACATTTCCATTCATCCGTTTTTGCTAGGAGTGCGTTTATTATAAACACGTTGAAGTTTTAAAAAAGAGAAATTCATAAGTGTTTAAAGAAGCACGAAACCAGAAAGTGTTTCCATGACCTAACGACACTTCTTTATTTTTCTTAGGTCCTTTTTGAGAAATAACACGTGCTGCTTAACAGAAGAAACATCTTATGTAAGACTTCGGAGTGCAAGCTGGAATGGAATTTCCGTTTCCTCCATTGGAATTCTGAATCCAAATCTGAAAATTTCCGAAACTGAACATTTTAAAAATAGATTGGATGGTAATTATATTTATTTCTCTCAATTTATTAATTATATACTGGATCCATATTGCCTAATATTCTTATAGCCCACGATCCTCCCATCAGGTTTAATCTTTTGTAGAGATTTATGGCCCAATGAAGTGTATGCATTGGGCTACAGTGTTCTAGAGCCCAATTACTGTGGATTTTCAAGTCTTTGAGTTAATAAGTTCTAGAGGGGGTTTCTCTAGTGCACATTTAAAAAAGAGTCATTATTACTTAAATGTGCACTAGAGAAAATTCAAGTTCTGAAGACCAATTTGAAGTTTGAACAATTTGAGTTGATAAGTTCTAGAGCCCAATTATTATGGATTATGAAACCGTTTCTATAACACTCATCACGAGATTCCTCCAAGGACGAGACTCAAAGGAAAAGTATGATGATCCAGGAAACGAGTGGTATACTTGAATGTTTAGGTTTAATGTAATTAAATTTGGTTGTCACAAGGAATACATCTGTGTTTCTGTGACACTTATCAAGAGAAGCTTTGAAGGGCAAGACTGAAAACGAAAAGTATGAATAATCATGAAACGACTATTAAACTCGAATGTGTAGGTTCAAGTTTACACGTAAGTCTGGTTGTCACTAAGTCCATGGACGCATCCACATAGGGCCTCAGAGGCTGGAAAAAAACACAAGGCATGTTCTTTAGGGACCATTCGAATGCTGATATGGAACCTTGTGTGTTCATTAAGTGTTCGATGAATTGTATGATCGACGAGATGAGTCGACATCACTTGGCATGGATCTAGACAGAATGCAATGTGCATCATGGCTCGGCAAATGACAATGAGCACACTAATGTTCGACAAAATGCCCCACTTAGAAAATTAAAAATAAATAAACTTCTTTCTATTTTTTATCAAAAAAACACTTGGATGTTTTACACTTGGACTCTCGAAGTTAGACTCCTAGATCTACAACTAAGTCAAAGGGAAGGACTTATTAAGTTGTCCTTGTTAATTTTGTGATCAAAAGGAATATTCTCAATCGCAAAATGTTTAGCCACGAAAATAATCAAACACGTACTTAAATCCAAATCACTTGCTACAACCTCGAAAAAACTAAGGATAGTATTACTAACCCATTATGAGATTTAACTTACTTCCCAATTCTTTAGTATAGATAAAATCATTTCTAAAAATAAAATAAAAAATCCAAAATCATTTGCAGAATTATTAGAGCCAATGACAGAGGTAATTAACGAGTGACATCCTTCAAATACAAGATGTGGGATTTCATCAAGAATCACACAAGATGCCAATTAGTTATTAACTAATTAATTAATTAGTCTCCAAATTTGACACTAACGATGATATCAGAATCACAAAATATTTGTGGTCAGTGAGTAATTAATATCTGCCTCTGTTGACTGTTTACCGTTGGATCATCGCAAGCCCTCGTGTGCATCTGACTCGCCTCTGACTCACTGAGTCGGCCTGAGCAGCATGCAGCACTGATGCCTTGTACAACAAGCAATGGACAATGCCTTTAAGTTTCTCCCAAAACCCTAATTAGTAAAAAGTTCTTAAGTAATTAACCATGACATCACTCAAAACGTTACAGTTTTGTACTTTGTATGATCATATGATCGTCCTATCTATATCTAGCTTTAGATTCTATTAGCTTTCAGAAGTTATCTCCTGAAGACCCGAGAAATTGCCATTTCCATGTTTAAGACCTCGTTTTTCTGTCGATACTTCCAGAGAATAAGTAAATGCTGTCTGTGCTCAAAATTGTCAAATTTCACTTTTTTGGGTTTAAAGCCAAATTATGGTGTAGAGTTATTAAGAAATTAGGCTAAACTTGCATCAAGATATTTTGAATGGCGCCAAGTTGACATGTTTGGCGGCAAAGGAATGCTTTTCCTTTATGGTTTTGGCGGTGATACGTTGTATTTATTCCAATGTAAATCAAATGGTCTACAACATAAAATAGGAATGTAATGTAGATATTGTGATTTGATTTTCTAAAGATATCAATTGTATATTAGTCTTGTAATACAAGTAAGATTGACAAAGTTCTTAATTTTATGTGATTATGATACCTAACTGATAGGCTAAAAAAATGGAATTTGGGATTTCTTTATGGAAAGAACCTTAATACCTTAGCCAGCATAAATATTAAAGTCTCTGCAAACCCTAGATACACAACAAATGATTCCCATAAAGTAGTTGTATTAGGCTAGGTGTTTTGTAGAAACCTTGGTGTTGCCGCAACATACATCCTCTCTACTTGGTCTCCAATGGCTCTCCTCCCCACTTGGTCTCCAATGGATATCGCTTCATGATTAGGTCCTTGTTTTGTGTTTTAATTATATAACCACTGCTTGGTTTCTAATGGCTATCGCTTCATGATTAGGTCAGCCAACACTCCTTGTTTTGTGTTTTAATTATATAACCACCGCTTGGTCTCCAATGGCTATCGCTTCATGATCAAGTCAACCATCTCCTTGTTTTGTGTTTTAATTATATAACCACAAAGTTTACAGTGGAATGTTCAGCAAGTGGCTTTGTTTTGCCACTATGGTTTTGATCTCTATATAAAGAAAGTCAGTTCATGAAGTTGGAGACACTCAAAACAATCAAACAAATATCTCTCTAGAAAACCAACGTAGGAAACCTTTAATTTTAGAACTCATTTTTGTTTGAAAGCTTTATTTAATATTGCAAGCTCTTTCATTTCTTTCAATGAAAGTCAAACTACTCTTTCAATTTATCATAGTTTTGTTGTCTTTACAAGTATTCCTCTTTAAATCTCTCTTTTTTAATAGCTACTGACATTTCAAATACAAGTTCTCTCTTTAAACTATTATTGTCATTTCGATACAAGATCTCTCTTACTGCTATTGTCGTTTCGATACAAGTTCTCTCATTATTGTCATTTTAATACAAAGCTATAAGCAAATTTTCTCTCTCTTTGAATCATAGCTTGAACTCTTTGTGTCAAGACTTTAATTCACCATTTCCATATTGTGATTTATTTCTCTATATAAGCAAAATTCTTGACTTTAAGGCAAAGAAAGAATTTAAGTTGAGCCACTCCCAAGTAGTGGAACAATTTTTTGTTTGGAAGTCAAATAGCACAATCTCCATCACTTAAATATCGTCTACTAACAGTAACTAGTAGTAACACGTTAACCATCTCTAATTTCATGTTCAATTAAATTTCCGACCTACCCACAAGACCTAGGGCGAATCTAGAGGGTGAACAAATGCAGATTAGGGTTTAGGATTTAGTGCGTCACACACCTTATTATTCTGAATCGATCCTCTCATTGTGTTTTGGCATTTTGCTGTCTTGATTCTTGAAGTTGTTTACAATATTCATCGGTTTTAGGGTTTCTAGGGGTTTTAGGTTTTCGAAAAGTGGGGAAAGTGGATTTTTTTAATGTACACTGTAATTATAAACCAATAGTTTGATGATGGCGTGGGATGAGTAGGGTTTTGAGGTCACAACTTTGACTGAGTGGGAATTTGTAGAAAAAAAACTCATGCTTAGATCATGCCCTCGTGCCATCTTCAACTTCAAGCGTGCGGCAAATATTGTCAGAATTTCTTGGACAAACCTCGCGTCTAGAAATGCTTCATTTTAAAAAGATTGAATTTTAACGAAAATTTTTAGGTACTGTTCACTTTAACGAAATATCATATTTTTATAATAAAAAGTTAATCCTGGTTGTATTTATTTTACTCTTTATTTTGTCGTTATCGTTAAAACTTAAAATTTTCAAGTCTTTTTCATTAGTTTTCATTTTAAAAAGATCCCCTCCTTGTAAGGAGAAAAGGTCTTGTTCTCTAATTTGACATCATTATGTCGTACCAATGTTGAAATTATAACTGTTTATTTTCTTTATCATTATCTAAAAATTATTTAAAAGAAAATCATTCTATTTGAAGACCTATTAATGGGAAATGAGAACCCGACTATGACATTTGTACAGTAAAATGTTACGTTCTTAATGAAGAAAGAAGACTTTCCTCATTTATGAAGGAGGGGAGTATTGTTATTTAAATTTTTCTGAAACCCCTTCAGAAAAGCAAAAGGGAAGATGTAGCTAGCATGCATTTTTTTGTATAGTGAAATGCTGCAATGTGTAGTGGGGAATGAGACCTAGACCATGACATTTGTATAGTGAAATATTGCAACGTTAATGGAGAAAGAAGACTTTCCACGTTTATGAGAAGGAGGGAACTATTGTCATTTAATTTTTTTTTGAAACCCTTTCAGAAAGGCAAAAGGGAAGAAGTATAGCAAGCTAGCATGCATTTTTTGCCACTCTTGAATCTGATACTGTTTAAAGTGATACAAATGTGGTTTCAGATAAGGGTACTGATTGGTCATGTGCAACATACATATGCAAAGTCATCGTTTAGATTTGTACGTATAAAGGAAGAATGAAAGCTACCTAGGACCACATGCTGCAGCTGCATGAGCTACCAAGTAAATGATCGAATCTGTTGTTGCATTGCAGCAGGCATAGTGATCGTGACAAAACACTGAAATTACAATGATATATATATATATACACACACACACATCATGCAGATGCAGAAAATATATGCAGTTGGGTATCATGATTACTACTAGTACTCCTTATGATGCTTTTAAGATATTGGAGTCG